GTTGCAATGCAGACAGCAGCCTCTCCCTGCCTGTGTTTCTCAGCCTCTCACCGTCTTCATACCGTTCACGCAGCTGTAAGGGAAAGATTTTACTGCATGAAAAAAAGAAAACACGAAAAACTGTAAGAATATCAGTACACTCCATATCACAAAATGATAACAAAAATAAATATTTCCTAAAGGTCTTGGCTATTTAAACTTATCGCTTTTCATTACTGCTGGGCAAGACTATTTATGCAGGGCTAATGCCATTAGCTCGTCTTCCCTGTTGGGTCAGTCACTGTTTCACGCGACCTGCCATCAATAATTCTCAGTGTTGCAATAGTTAATGCAGTCAGCTGTTAAAGTACTGCTAAACACATAGCTTCACCCAGTGTGTTTACCTACAGAAGTACCCCCTAGACCCCTACTGTGCAGTCTAATTTGCTTGGGTGGGATTTTTTTTTTTTAATCCGCCACTTCTTTACTTCTAAATGATGTCAAGCAGGCGGGATAATAGCGCAGCAGTGAGCAGTTTAAGCGGAATGCATTGTAATGAGGCTACAGAACTGTAAAACGTTACCAGCGGAATGGGTTCGGAGACGAGGACTTGGTAATGAAGATGGAGTGAGTGCTGTGCACAGCCTTTTGTGGAAGAGGGACTCTTAGTCATTATGCTGAGGATTTTGCGTGTTCCGTGACCTTTTCGCCGACTGTGTTAAAAAAATACAGGGCGAGTCTTAGAATGAACACAGCGCACAGGCACAGCGACACTAACAGCACCGATTGCGTAGCTGTAGGAATGTTTCTGAGTCATTTGAGACAATTTTAGACCTGTTTTCTAACACATTTATTTTTAATTAAATTACACTATATAGAGTAAACGTGTCATTCGGGGTGTAGCGCACGTTTTACGTTGGTTAATCAATTAAGACCAAAATAAAGGGGGGGGGGGGGCAGATAAAGATACGATTTTAGAAAGGTTTGGTTTATTTTTGAGGTTTTAAAATGGAAACGAAAACTAAATGCGTGACCAATGAACTATATTTTTCCATAAAGAATTCTTACTTAAAGACCGACTAAAGGTCTTTTATCAGTATCCTGCTGTTAATATATATTTAGGGTGTATTTTCTGTTGTAGTTGGGAGTCCGGTGGGAAATCGATCATCACACCCCCCCACAGTAATGTTAACACAACCCCAGGGGAGCACAGATAAAGAGGCGCTTTGCAGCGAGTGGTGTCCGGGCTCTGTCCCCGCCGAGCCGGGCGCCGGCTGCTGTCCAGCGTGCTGACTGCAGAGGCGCCTGAGAGCGGCCGTCTAACCCGCGACCAGAGGAGCCTTGCAGGAGCGTCCTTCAGCTGAACCTCAGCAGCCGAATAAGCTCCAAGCGCTGAAAATGACCGACTCCTGCTTTCAACTCCGCCGGCTATTCTAAGACCGTGACGCTCAGCGGTGCGGTGGCTCGGTGGCTCAGGATCTGCGCCCGTGGTTAGAAGGTTTACCGGTTCGTATCTTGCGGCCGGCAGAGGAATCCTACTCCGGTGGGCCCCTGAGCAAGGCCCTTCACCCCAGCTGCTCCAGGGGCGCTGTATTAATGGCTGACCCTGCGCTCCGACCCACAGCTTCTCCCCGTGTCTGGTGGAGAGCAAGCTGGGGTATGGGCAAAGACAAACTCCTCCTACAAGAAATTGTATCTGGCCCAATAAAGCGATCTTTTCCTGTGTGCTCGAGGATTTTACCGTTCGTCGGCCGCGTTTTCCTTCTGTCGTCTGTTTTTAAATCCGATCTGGAAGTTTTATTACTTGTCGAACAAGCGTCTAACATGTCTTTCGCGTCACTGACGCCTTTAGTGAGATTTTTGCCAGGCCATATACGACCCCTCCGTTATTTGGAAGGTAAAGGTGTGCTCTCTAAGGGAACAGAGGACGAACAGCGCGGTAGCTTTCGGTCACTGGTTTCAGGGGCTGGCTGCGAGCCTTTTAAATTATTGACTCACATACTCTGGCTTCCAACGGGTTACAATGATCCATGCCAAGACACTGTGTTGGAAAAACCCGCGAATAAAAAGCGCGCAGTGTGTTTACAACCATAATTAAAGTGCGACGGGCCGAAAGGAGAAAGACTGGCATTATCATTAAGAACAGGAGGCATCACGGAACCTCTTCAGTAGAGGGGAGCGGAGGGAGGGGGGGGCTTGTGTATCAGGTAGGGAGACCCCGTTTGACGTCAATGCAGGTGCGGGGGCGTCCTGTTTGTGCTGGGAGAGCGGGCTACACCACCGCAGTTTGTCTCAACAGATCTGATTAGTCCAACTCACAAATGCAGGAGTGAGGGGAGAGAGTTATCCCGGCTTTACGATAATTACTTTGCGTTGAAAACTTAAATCACCGGGATGCACGACATCGCGGCAACTCCGGGCATAATCTCCGACTGAGCCTTTATGGCCGAGATGCTGATCGGAGAATTTGCAGCATCAGGCCACAGCACCCGTTTTGAAAGGCTCTGCGGTTTTTACAAGTTGCTCGTAAAGACGCGCTTTAAGATGTATGCATGAGCGCTATGGAAACCTCGAGCCGGTGAAACCAGAGGCTGCGCGCGCGCACGGCCGCGCGCTCCCCCCCCGCGCTCTCCTTGACCCAGTTCTCTGAAATCTGTTTGATATTTTCTCCCGCGTTGTCGATTCCGCGTATAAGCAATGAGCAGGATTTTTTTGTGTGTGTTAAATGAAAGCGTGCCATTTTAATGTCTACTTAAATATCCTATTTTTATACGTCGCATGAATGGATCGTTTGGGAATTCATCAAGTCCTAATCAAAACGTCGGTCACCAGAACCCTAGGGATGAGCTCTTAAGGTTATACGGTTACATTTCTTTTTTTTTTCATTATTTGGATAAGTGGAAATCAGGTATAAAATATTATCCTTAGGCTGATAAAAATGGAACTTTACGTGATGGTCCCTATTCTGCATGATAATAAATGTCTAGTCACATGCTAGTGATGTTGCCAGCAAGATCGCAGAACAGCACCTGACTGAAATCAGAAATGAGCGTTTCTCTGTGAAAATGAGAGTACAAAATAATTACACCGCTTTCACACTTCTGATACCCGGGAGGGGTTTCGAGGAGGAATTGGGAAAACTGAAACCTCCGCGTGGAGACCGTGAAAGGTCTGCGCGGAGTCTCAGCGTTAGGAACAGGCCGGAGAGCGGAGATTAAAGCAAAGGTGCGAGTAGAAAAATAGAAAATACGAAATAGCCTCTGTTTAAAACGTCCATACAATCATCTAGTCCCGTGTATGTGGGCACTTCAGTCGTCTTATGGAAAACCACCCTTCTAGTTCCCTTCTAGAATGAAATCGTCACGCCTCCTGCTGCTCAGCGGGTTAACAGAGGAATCCACAGTTACTGCAAATTCCACAGGAGTTCATACTGACTGCGCCATTTGGCATTCTGTGCAAACATACGGCCTTCTTAATTCGTTTAAACCAAGAAAAATCACTTCACTACATTTGCCGGAAATTAGAAAACGTGCTTCTTCAAAGATTCATTACACGAACAGCGTGCGGGCCTTAACTCGGGCAGTCTCTGCTATCTGGACCGAGTCAGAAACCCCGCCGGGCGAGACACACCTGGGCTTTATTGAAAGAGCTGCCCGGCCCCGTGAACAGTCGAGATATCCACCTCATCACATTGCAGCGAGGGTGTGGGGGCACACGGGCCTTATTTGAAGCGTTTTGAGACGATGTGTCACACAGGGCGCTATCTGAAAATATGTCTGTTCTATTGTTACTAGTTGCCGTTGCGTTTTCCTATTTGTGTTTGCCAAGGAAAGAGAGGAGAACGTCGTTCTTCCACAGAACCGCACCAGACGAAACACTCCGTCTGAATAATGCAATACAGCCTTACTGTAAAGGGGAGGAAACAGCCCAAAACGCGACACCTTCTCAGTCAGCAGGAGATGTTGCCGCAGGACTTGTGCCTCGTTACCGTGTTGCTCGCTCATTTTACAGCTGCGGTGCAAGACTTCACACGTCATTTACAGTCACCTGTCTCCGTGCTGCTTCCCCTACTGTGGAACTGAGGACGTCGGACCACTGGAAGGTCCCCCTGCTTCTGAGAAAACGAGATCAGAAGATCGTATACCAATTTCAATAAGTGGAAAGTTCCCTCCACCTATTTATTATTCAGAAATGTGTGTGTATCGGCACCGTAAGGACTTCCCGCAGTGGTGAATTTCAATGAGTTGCAATGCAGAGGCGCACATGCCCTACTGTATGTCACCAAACGGCTCGTGGTTAACTGCAGGAGTGCTGTAGGCATGCCTCACCAGGGCTACCCTATCCCCCACTCCGATTAACAATTATCAGAGCAATTACTCAACGTAGGCCTACCCCCCTGCCACTACAGAACTGTTTGTGCTCCAATTAGCTCTGATTTCCCTTTGTTTCCTCAACCAGCAAGGATTCAGTACTGATGGCCTCCATCACTGCCTCCTAGCTGACACAACCTTCCGAGGAAGCCAAAAGCATTGAAAAAATAATCTCTTCTTTTAATTAGCTAACATTTAATCATTATTAAGTTATAGATCTGTGTTATGGTCTGTACCAGTGAATTGCTGCACATGTATACACGTCTGTATTGTCGTAGGCCTGGTTAAATCATTAATTGTCTGTATAAACGGCCCCAGCAAATTACAAACGTTCTGATTGATAGCGAGTTTCCATTGGCTAAGAGCAAGAATCCTCTCCAGTAGTTGCTCTCAAACTTGATCACCACTCTGCACGGGCGGATCGACCTGGTGGATTAATTCGGTTCTGTATTGAATCTAAAATGATCGCCGCGCACTGTCTCCAAATCTAATGAACACAGCCTCGAGCCGTGAAGTCCGGCGATAAGCTACGTGTGGTGGTACGGCTCTACACGTGACCTGCTGACTACCTCCTCAGTGATTGCTCACGGATGTTTGAACAAACCGCTGCCTGAAGCCAGCTGAAGTCCGACAATAAATCCTGGGATTCAATCACTTGTCCCGTGTCACTTCTCCGCCTCATGGGGCACTTCCGTGGAGCTCACCTGTTGTTGGAGGCGCTATGAAATCCCTGATGCGCGTTTTTAAATGCACCGGCCCAAAGCAACTTTTTATTTCCTGGGGGAAAAAAAGACTCGATCCTGAAATGCGCCCGATCCAAAACCAGGCGATAACCTCCTGCAGCTCCTGAAGTCTAAAGTGCTCGGGAAGACGAAAGGGGAGATAAACTCTGGAGTTACAAGACATTATTGAATTGGAAAATCGCATTGTGATCTAGATTACATTCTCTCGATCTGGAGGGCTGGCGGTGTGTCGCAGCCAATACATGTAAGCGCTTATCTGGCTGCCCGTGTCTGGAGAGAGAATTGGAAGAAAAGAAAGAGTAGAAATCCACAGTCCATCATTCACCATCATCGCGGAATTAATGGATTATTGACGATAGACGGATATCCAGCGCCGGGGACTGCAGATCCAGCTCCGTGTTTTTGCCCTGCCCCGAGCCGGGGGATAGGAGCCTGTAGTGGAACTCATGAGAGCCAATAGGACTGCAGCAGTGTTAGAACTGGGGAGCCGGTGTGCGGGCGAAAGGCGACCACAACTCAAGAGCGGTGTTGAGGGTGTCTGGGCTGAGAGCCGAGCTCTGCGGGATTTGTTTATTTACCTGGCGACTCCACCGAGGCTCGTGTGTCAGAGGAATACGTGCACTTCAGAGGATGCTCTTCGAGAGGTCCCCGAGGAAGGTAAGGCTGCAGCAGGGTGAAATTGGCCCCCGACCTGGAGGTCACCTGTCGAAGTAGTCTGTCAACTCCAGTCACAACTCCCGTGTGTTTATTTCGCGTTTACAGTGAGTGACAAAGAGCAAGCAAGGTCCGCGTTGTGCTGCGCGGCTACAGATACCGAAAAGTAATCCTTGTCACTCTGTCTGCTTTGCTGGGCTAGCAGACAAGGTGCCTTCCCCTGCTTCTGCAATTAACAGTAGAGTAAACTTCTCTTCTCGCTGCTGTGAAAACCCCCCAGCACAGTATCATCACGACACGTACAGTACCGTACATGGATGGAGGCACTTGTAAACTACTGTACTAGTTATCGCAATGATAATAGCTGGTACTGCGATGGACGGATACTGTATGTCAATTGTGTTGCTCAGGTCACTGGGCTCAAAGGCTACTCGAGGTTTGCTGATCGTGTCGGAATGCCTCCGAGGAAGTCTTGTAGTGCGCGTGTCGTGCTGCGAAACGTCTTATTTCTAAGCAGTCGTGTAAAGGTTCAATTAGACACTGGGAGCACTGCAGCAAAGCGGGGACGTTTTTAGTGAGGGATTTGTTAAACTGCTTAAGTTCTTCCAACGACGGTAAATCCGGCTAACATCTCTGGAGTAAAGAGATAAAAAAAAATAGACGAAAACGGGTTTCCACCGCGTGCCAGCACATCCGTGCAGATTGAAGGTGGCTGTAGGTGTTTGCTGTAATGTCGTGTAGTCCGTAAATGCGCGGGGTGACTTTTATAACCACGGCCGCGCTTTTTCTTCCACTTTTGATCTGTGGAGTGTTTAAGACACAGGGGGGTTTGACCTGTTCCCAAACTTGAGGAGGATGACATTGACACGCACTTAATTACTGAGCTTCCTGCCCGGTCAGTTTTAACCAGGCAGAAACGAAGTCTTGAGGATAACCGAGTCCTGTCCCCGGCACGCCTTCTTCGCGTTACCGGTGAACCACAGGGATTCTCCCAGAGCCCCTCGGCGGTCCCTCCGTGTGTGGTACAGTACACGAGGGACGGTAGTTCACACGTGTTGAGAGTAATACAGACCTTCCACAGTGCGATACTCATTCTACTATTTCTACTATTGGAAATACTAGAGTTGTGTTGTTGTTGTATGTGTTACATTTCTGTAACATTAATGCTGTTATTTATGAGACATCCGAACTGCAGTTCTGTCTCGCTATCGTATGTCGGACTGTATTTATTTAAATACATTCAAGGGGAAAAGGGAGTCCCCGTTACCTGTAAAGCGCTTTGAGTGGAGTGGCCAGAAAAGCGCTATATAAGTGTAAGCAATTATTATTATTAAAACAGTTGCCACCGCGGATTGGGTGTGAAGTCGCCAGGGCATTTCTCCGGGACTGTGAGCTGTATTTCACGGCTGTGTGTATCCTACTGTACTGGTGGGAGACTGTACAGTAGCACTGGCTTTGACAAAGCTGTTCATTTGTGGTACAAGTTTCCATTGGATAAATTTCTCAACCGTGTAGCAGCACACTGCTGAGTCAAACGGCTCGTCGGTCCCGGGGGTGAACCATAACACACAGCAGTGATTTTTTTTTTGGCTTTCGGATGGTGAAGAAAATAAACTAATCCTAAGGTGTTAGCAAATAGAAAATAAAACATAGCTAGATCAGAATGGTTGTGTTTTTGCGGGTTACTACACACAAAGCGGTATAACGCAGTGTGCCATCCACCCAAGCCAGAGAAAGTAGGGTGACGAACTGGAATCAGTATCGATTCAGAGGTTGTTTTTTTTTTTCATTACACACAACGAATCCTGATGCAGAAGTTCGGATTGTTCGCAGCTCTGCTCCTGTGTCTAAAATGTCATGATTGTTGTTGGTTTTTTTGGACCTTCTTTCAGTGTATTTATTTGCAGCGCATGATCTAAAGCTTTCTTAATGCGGAGAAAGAACGTGGACCTCTCGCATGCTGTCGAAATACAGTCTGATGCGCGCCCGGAGGTGGGTGTGATGGTGTCATTTTTACGCCGTTACATGGCACGTGACGCCACAGACCTTGCCGCGGTTTGCCTAGCTCGGATCTTGAACTCACATCCAGAGTGCATTTGGTAACGCTGAAGGAGAAGGTTACCGAGCGAGGGACTTGTGTTCGTGGCGAATTCGAAAGTCCACTTCAAGACCTCTTCACCGACTGTAGCAAGCATCAAGCAGTGCAGTTCGCCTTCTTCTTCACTGGGGCCTGTATTTTGAACAGGAGGCTTCGGTGCAGAGCCTTAAGATCCCCGTCTCAGCATCTCGTCCTCCTGTAGTTCAAAGCAGACATTCTGTCAAGAGTGACCGTGTTGATGTCTGCAGGCTGCCAGCACGCCCCTTAACGAGATACTGTAGCTTCATTTTCAGGCTGATGCATTGAAAGACAGACTTTAAACAAAACGGAATCTGCGCTAGCAGACAGGTTTTCAAAGCTTTTTGCTCTGGAGCAGAACTGCTCTTAATTTGCTGAATGTAATTATAGAAAGGATTGAAATGACAATTAAGATGGGACAATATAATAGGAAAATAAAGCAAATTATTGTACTGAAGCAAAATGCTTTGAAGGTTGTGCATGTGTTCCCAGAGCATTTTTTATTAAATCATAAGCGCTTCCATTCAAGGCAGTCCTGAGCTGAGGGGCTAGAGGCTATGACTGCTGTTTTTTTTTTATTTAATTTCTCACAATTAAAATATAACAGGAAAATATTTTCTCAGAAATGTCAGATGAGCCATTTGGTATGTATCCAGAATGCGCTGTTATTCATTTCCATACCCATGGCCCTTTGACAATGTTTCATCAAGCATCCCTGAAGACATTGTTCAGGTGCTTAGTGATCGCACTGACCTTTGTACAGAAAAGCATGGTTTTCAATTAGCACTCATGTATTCTAGGTGAGCAATATTCTACCCAAAAATCTAAAATGGTATCCATGGGTGCAAAGCTATTCTGTGTTTGGACAGTAACTTTTTTTTAAATCAAAATCAAGTCTAATGCCTCATATTTTGACTGGATGAGGTATGTGTGCATGCATCACAAAATCTACACTGCTGTGTGCAATAGGTTTGCATATGCACAATGCAAATGATTGTTATTGCCAAACAATACAAAGAAAGTTTCCCAAGTTTACCAATATAGTGACACCAGCTTGCTACAGTATCTTCAACAGATTAAAACTGCCTGGTTCTAGTCAATTAACAGCTCTGGGTTGCTTCTTTAAATGTCTCCATTTGGTGAGTCACATGGAATGCAGGGTTTGTATGCATAGCAGGTCACAAAGGAGCACAGCTGAAGAGGAAAGTGCATCCAATCAATACCATCGATGCTATACAGAAATTCCTGTGGTCTCTTCATTTGGTCCATTTGCAGCAATCTTGGAAACATGACACTTAAAACGCAGAAGTGACTGGCTCAAACTGTAGGTACAAATGTCTAGAGTGACCCCCTTCATTCTCTCTCTCATTCCTTCAGCACACAGAAACCCACACCTTATGTTCACAGCTGGTTAAAATGTGTAAATATCCAAAGTCAGGTGACACCCTTAAAAACCGAGTGCTCTGTCTCGCTCCAGTTTCGAAGCCTCTGTTACCATTAGGCTGTCTCTCCAAAAAGTTCATTTCAGTTTCTGAGGCTTTGAAGAACCACAGTATTAAATTTAAAACCCACAAAATCTCATCAGGACTTAAAGAGCCATGCAGTCAAATATTATTGTCTTCACCACAAAGATGAGCAGGTACACAAAAGGGTTAAGAGAACGTGAAATCGGGTCTCATTTGGGAATAGCACTGATGGTGAAGCTAAGGTCTCCAAACTCTTCAGCCTGGGAAAGGAGCGTAACTGTCCCCGTTTCTCCCACAGTTAGCACAGGGGATGCTCTGGGGTTTGTCCCAATGTGTTCAGAGGCTGCTGCCCTGCCTGGAGGAATGGGGTTGTTCTGTTGGTGCTAATGGGGCTGAGTCCCAGGGTGTGAAGCTGAGTGAGGCTTCTTTTGCCCGGGATAGTGAGGGTGAGAATGTAGCCCGTAAACAAATTGCTGATACACCTGCATCCATTTCCACTGCTCCGACCTAATAGGGATGATTCATTCTCACACTGTGCACTGTGATTGTAGGCAATCTCCAGAGGTGAGAGGTCCCTTCGCTCTCACATCCATCCCCGAGAGCAACAAATTATTGGAAATTTCCGCCTTGTATCATCTGGGAGAGAAATCTGAAAGAATGAATCCTGGTGTTGCTTTTCCCATAAGCTGCGATTCACAGTCCTGGTTTATTGTACTGTACAGTATGTGATAAAATGAGTTGTTCTGTTTTCATATAGCTTTTTAAAACACAGACGTCGTGCTCAATGAAATGTAATTAGCTCTGTGCTTTTTATACAGTGTGGATTGGTATTTTATTAGCAACAGATAGTAAAAGGCGAAGGTTTACCAATTTTACAAATGTTAAAGATTGGTGTTTAATGGCAAATATCTTGATAAATCTAAAAACGCATGCAGTTTTAGTCACATCAATATCACTGACTATAGAGAACGGAATTGTGGTTATAGAAAAAACTTAAAGCACTACGTATTCGTGGCTACCTAACCATGACTAGGTAATACAGTATTTCAGAAGACTGTACAATACATATGGCTGTTTCCATATAGGACAAACAACTTGTTAATTTTTTAAGTATATGTGGATTTATATCAGACAGTAACAAGGGTTTGTAATATCTTCCCTGAAGGTGAATTTACAAAAAAACTGGTTTGGGGTTACTTTCCCTCTTAGGAAAAGAAAAGTGAAAAACAGAGCTCTGTTCTAACAGTCTAAGTGGATAAACTTTAGACAACACTTCTCCTTCCTCTGGAGAGAGAGACTGGGCAGTGAGTTCAACATTTCGACTTTGCAGAGGTCAAACTCCAATCTGGAAATCCAAAGTGAAGGTAATGGTTAAAATTACCTCTTTTTGTTTGCATATTTGGAAAGTTGTTGCAGATAAT